TTCAGGACCTAATGATTAGTTCTCTCTTTTTTGCAGTCTATGACACCTCTCAGTAAACATCTGCAGATCCATAGTTCAAAGACATCTATCTTTTTCTTGGTCTATCTCAGTGTCCCCCTTTCAGAGCAATTTTTCAGTAATACGCTACAGATCGGCACTATGCCTCAAGTTCTTCTGGAGCTACTTGTACAGGAAGCTGTTCTCATACAGAATAACAGAATTGGAAGGGACCTTGAAGGTCTTCTAGTCCAACCTTCTGCTCAAGCAGAAGATCCTATATCATTCCAGGAAAATGACTGCCCAATCTCTTCTTAAAAACCTCCAGTGATGGAGCACCCACAACTTCTGGAGACAATTATTGTTCTAAATGTCAGGAAATTTCTCCTTAGCTCTAAGCTGTATCTGTCTTTCATAAGATCCCATCTGTTACTTCTTGTCCTGCCATCAAGTGCTTTGGAAAATAGGTTGACCCTTTCTTCTGTGTGATGGCTCCTCAAATGTTGGAAGACTATGATGTCATCCCTATTCCTTCCCTTCATTAGACTAGACCCATGATGGCGAACCTATGGCACGCATGCTGGAAGTGGCACATAGAGCTTCTGCTGGCATATGAGAGGTCGCCCAGAAGAGCCCCACTGCGCACGCTCATGCAGCCCCATCAGCCAGCTGGTTGTCTATTATCTGCCGTGCATGCGCAAGGGGAGATGCATGTGTGGGAGACATGCGCACATATGCAGAGCCATGCAGCATGCGGGGGATTGTGTGTGCATGCGCAGAGGTGTGTGGTGCATGCACAGTGGTTCGCATGTGCATGTGCAGGGGCGGGGGAAGTCATGCGCACATTGCATCATGGATGCAGGCACGTGAGCGAGCACCCGAGTGCACATTTTTGGTACATAATGTGGAAAGGGTTAGCCATCACTGGATTAGACATAGACTAGTCATCCTGTAACCGTTGATCATATGGTTTAGCCTCCAGCTCCTTAATCATCTTTGTGGCTCTTCTCTGCACTCTTTCTAGAGTCTTTTTTGTATCACGGTGACCAAAACTGGATGCAGTATTCCAAGTGGGGTCTTACAAAGGAGTACTAACACTTTACGTGATCTTGGTACTATCCCTCTGTGGATGCAGCCTAAGACTGCATTGAGGGTTTTTTTTGCGGGGGGGAGGGGGCGGCTGCAGAGTATTGCTGGTTCATAGTGATTGTCCACTTGGATTTCTAGATCCCTCTCACAGTTACTGCTGTTGAGCAGCAGGTACTACCTCTTCTGTAGCAGTGCATTTGGAAGTTTGCTTCAGCAACACAGCCTCTCTGTGCAAGGGGATTTGGGGCTGTTGATGTAGAATCATTTGGGGCCAGATTATCTTCTTTCTATAATGAACTGATTCACAAGAAAGCGGCTTACTGCATCACAATGATGTGATGCATTGACTGTTTTTTCCTTTTAATTTTGGAAAAAAAATGTTTGTCAGAAGGATTAACATTTAACAGTTATGCTAACCTATCCAGTTGCTTGTCAATCATGAGTTACAACTTAGCATATGGTATGAATCCAGCCCTTGGTAGCTTATTCAATGAATTATTGTTGCACAAATCATGGTTTACTGTAATATGTGGTCATTATACCCTCCCACACATGCACAAAAAATATGTAAAAAAAAACAACTTTAGCTATAGTAGCGGGTATGATGAAGTAAAACTAGGCACTCCCAAATTTAATATGTTCTCAGGCAAAGAAGTTCACCAAATAGATTTGGGTCACTTTATATCAATTTAAAGTACTTCAGAGGGTTGTTATCAAGATAAATTAAGGAAAGAACTGCTATGAACTCCTGGATAAAAGCCAATCAATCTAATAAACAGAAAAATTGCCAGATCCTGAGAGGGCACATCCCAGAGATTGGCAACCCCACAGAAGAAGGACTGCACAACCCTTAACAAAGAAACCTCTTATGATCAATATTTTAAAATACTATAAATACTATAAGAACCTCAGGAAAATACACCCTGAACCTGCAATTTTAATACAAACTTAGTAATCCCTTAACCCCACTAAAGATGTAATTTATTTTGAAGTGAACATTCTATCCTTCCTGACTCATGATTCATTGAATTTGAGGGGACAGACTTATTCTTAAGAAAATGTAGGTATGGAATCAGAGCCTCAGACCTTTTGCAACTTCAGAGTGCAGAAAGGTCTGCAAATAATGTAGTTTTCCAGCTTTTTGTTTCTCTGATAAGTAATCTCACCTTTCAGCAATGATATATAAGCTTGAGAGAGGACAATGGCAGAATATGCTGCACTCCGAAAAGAAGTGGTTAAAAACATTTTTTTTAGCACGTAGTATGAAAACCAATAAAGTAAGTTTTCTATCACAATGCTGTATTTTTTTTCCTTGCCTTATTCTGCTGAGTTTAATATGGGAGTTTAAAAAAAAAACAACCTTTAAAACTGGGACTAGCAGCCTGACCAAATGGATTTAGTGTGAAGAATTGTTGCATTATATAAGCTAATTGTAAGGCTAAATTTTAGCCATCTATTTTTTCCCCTTTTTAATGGCCCTGTAATCCCTTTTTATTGGGGTGGAGTTGGGGGGACTGAATGGAGCTGAGTGTTAACTAGCCAGATGCCCTTCCTGACACCTAAACAAAGCTCTCAGCAGATATTTTCTCCTTGTGCCCTGACAAAAAAACACCTGCCACTGCCTAGGATTGAACTCTCAACCTCCTGAGTGTGAGGTGAACATCTTCCCCTCTAGGTCACTGTGCTGCTCCCTTTTAGTCATCTAAATGACTGCCTGCTTGTTGGCAAAGACAGGGTTTCACATTTCTAAATTAACTAAATTAAGGTACAATTTGAAGTGACTTCTGTAGTCTGACATCATCTCAGAATCTAAGGTCATTTCTCCTTAGCCTGTTCAAATGAGCAATCGATATGTGTACTTTAAGCATAGATTCAACAACATTTGCCAAACTTGATGTCTATAGCATTCATTTTATTTTATCATTTTATTTTTTCCAGTTTTTGAAGTCTCCTCATTAGGAGATGGCGCTTTGCAGCCATGTTCATTTTAATTTAATATTAGTGAATAAACCTTTCTTTTATTTTAATGTTGAAGAAGAAATATGCCTATATGAAACTTGGATGGTTGGCATCAGAGATCTTAAACATCAGGCCAGAAGGAGCATTCATACAGGCATGGCACATTGGTGTCTTCATAAATGTATCTTCCTGGTACTATTCATAACTGAATTGTTCATTGTGGAGGCCAAGTTCACCTCTCAGTAGCACTGAAAATGATTTCATTGTCAATCCTGTTCCTACTCATATAATTAATCCTGAATTAGATGAACCAGTCTGGACTGCCTCAATATAATGTCATTTCCTAGGTTAAGCCATAAGAATTCCCATATCTGCCTCAACAATATTGGTAAATACAAGAGCTGGGTATAAACACACTTGAAAATTTCCATTACATTTGTTAAAAGAGAAATTGAGTGGACAACAATTGGGTGACTCTGCAGCAATTTCTCAAGTGCTTATGTCTCATTTATCACAAGTACAATAGAGGAATCTCAGTAGGAGGAATTCTCTCACGGTGTCTTCATCTCATTTCGTTGGAATTTAGGAAGGCTCCAGACTTCTGAAGAGATGATTATACAATGAAATAATGCACTTACATAACACTTGGCTACCTATAATTAAACAAGTAAAAGAAACATCAAATTCCATCTATTAAAAGTTCTAACTCCCCCACCCCCATCAAACCAATGAGCTATAGAAAAAATTAGCAGGAGACTATCTGCTCAACAGAAGTAATCCTTAATATGCATAATATTACCAATACTTCAGAGATTTCTAGTCTGAAGGCAATATTTGTAAATTAAGGCATTCCTCAAAGAGTTTGTTAAAAATAATAGGCCTCAATACTCTAATCTTGAATGCTGAGTAATACTCTACCAGAGTAATCTTCAATGCTCAGTAATACTCTACTGGAGTAATCTTGAATGCTGAGTAATACTCTACCAGAGTAATTTTGAATACTGAGTAATACTCTGCCAGACTAATTTTGGATGCTGAGGAATATTCTGCTAGACTACCTTCTGGTACTTTTATTGATTGATTGAATGTGTGAGTCAGTGATTTTATTTAATTTTCACATTTCCATATTATCCATCTCACCTAAGTAACTTTGGGTGGTTTACCGTAGAAATATGTTCATAACATAAAAGCATAATTGTCGGGCTTCAACAACGCTACTGATGAAATGAAGCCCGACACGTAGCTGTGGTTGGGGGAGAGCTATCTACCTGGAAGATCCCGAATCAATGTTGATGACAGCCAATGAAGCCAGGCGTAACTGCCCCTTCCCGCTTTGGTGCGACCAGTTGGGAAACTGCCTTATCAGTTGTTCGGTGTTTTGCAAAGCTCTAAGCAAAATGCCTCCCACTCTTACCAGCCGGGAAATACCTCAGGATGTCATTTTAGCTGGTCAGCATTCCACATAGGGGATATCGAATGGATCGGAGTGGAAGGATGACACTCGGGGAGGAGGAAGGTGTTATTTGGGGGGTTGGGTGGTAGCGCACGAGATTACTGTAGATGGATGTTGGGTGTTTTGCTAAGGGCAGATGTTAGCTAATTAATGGGGGGGGTGAACGGGAAATATAAACAGCGCTGAGAGGCAAACGCTCTCAGAGCTGGCTTTCCTTGGACTTTCAATTTGTTGCTGCTGTTGGAGGAGGCCAAAATAAACACACATTGCTACATCAAGACTGTGAGTGAAGTGTTTTATTGAACCAGTTTCAACGACCTCCTGTAAGAGCTGACAATAATTAAGAACCTAATTAAAAACGTAATTAAAAGGTACGGTTATAGTATTCAAGGTCTAAAAGGTCAAAAAGGTGGAGAGAACAACCCCACAATGTCAATCACCCCCAGGGTTGCCGAATTGTACTCTTTTGTCACAGTACTTTCCCTGACACAACATCCAGGCCACATTTCCCCAGTCTAATGGCCTTGTTGAAAATAGAAAATATTGTTTTAAAAAATCCCCAGGCAACACATTTATATTATTTTTATACATAATTCAAAGCAATGAACATACTAATATTTTCCCTATTTTCCCCATGTGAAGTACTATTGGCTCACTATGTGCCCTTTTAGAAAATGATCATTTCCCAATGAAGTTGAAAATACAAATAGAATGGAAAGGGGAGAAAATTATAAAGAGCCAATTCAGTATTTTAAAAAGACGGCTGGTAAACTTCCACAGCTGAAATCTGGTTTCCTTGTTTGTCTTCATTAATAAGTGAGACAATCAAGTTCCCATTAAACAGAGAATTCCACTACATTCTTATTTAATTCAGATGGATTAAGAAGAATTGTACCAGCCGAACCATCAAAATGTTGCTGAATAGGGAAAACATCTTCAAAAAAGCATCACCATCCTGTGGACAGCGGCTACTTGTCTAGCTAACTCATCATTCCTAGTGGAAAATGAATGAATGCTCTGAGAGATTTTCGGAAAGCTGTCAAGAACCTTCCTATAGAGTAGGGGTTCACACAGGAAAAAAATGTCACTGTAGGCAGTGTGCCAGCAATTCATTTGCAGATGCTCTTAATAAATATATTCTGAATTTGTTTTTCACTAAATGGAGGGAAAGAAGAATTTGCAGAAGATCATGGGACCAGAGGGTGGAGATTAATTTTGGTATTGGCCTGAATATGTATCCAATAGTGATGCCTTAATAAAGAAGTTGCAGCTTATTATTGGTTGGAACTTAGACTAATACACCGTAAGTAAATTTTCTCTTCCTTGTTCAACTAATACATATTACTATGTAAAAGCAAAAAGTTGAGACAGTATTCTATTCCACTAAAGAGTTGGAAACCAATGCTTTTCTTTCTTTTTCCCCTCTTTCCCTTACACCAGTGCTTCTCAACCTTGGCAGCTCAAAGATATGTAGGTTTCAACACCCAGAAATTCCCCAGCCAGCCAAGAAACACTTGAGAAACACTTTCCCTACACCTTTTCCTCTTTTCCTCCATTGCTTTCCTATTCACTTGAAGTGTTAATACCACTTTATAATGCTTTGGTAAGACCACACTTGGAATACTGCATCCAAGCTTGGTGACCACGATGTAAAAAAGATGTTGGGACTCTAGAAAGAGACTTGCAGAGAAGAGCAACAAACATGATTAGGGGACTGGAGCAGTGGTGGGATTCAATTTGTTTTACTACCAGTTCTGTGGGTGTGGCTTGGTGGGCATGGTAGGGGAAGGATACTGTAAAATCTCCAGTCAGAGGTGGTGTTTACCGATTCTCTGAACTATTCAAAATTTCCACTACTGGTTCTCCAGAACTGGTCAGAACCTGCTGAATACCACCTTGAGACTGGAGGCTAAAGTTGCTGGAACTGGATATGTCTAGTTTGATAAAAAGAAGGACAAGGGGTGACATGATAGCAGTGTTCCAATATCTCAGGGTCTGGCACAAAGAAGAGGGAATCAAGCTATTCTCCAAAGCACCTGAGGGCAGGGCAAGAAGCAATGGGTGGAAACTGATCAAGGAGAGAAGCAACTTAGAACTAAGGAGACATTTCCTGACAGTTAGAACAATTAATCAGTGGAACAACTGGCCTCCAGAGTTGTGAATGCTCCCACACTGGAGGTTTTAAAGAAGGGATTGGACAACCATTTGTCTGAAATGGTATGCGATTTCCTGGACTACCTGTAGAAGTCCTCCAAGGTCCCTTCCAACTCTGTTATTCTATTCTTTTCATTTTTATTTGTATTATATATGTTGATAAACTAATAAAAAATCTAAAACTGGAGAGAAAATTAATATTTGGATAAAAATGAGTCACCGTTATACAAACTACACTGCTCAAAAAAATAAAGGGAACACTTAAACAACACAATGTAACCTCAAGTCAATCACACTTCTGTGAAATCAAACTGTCCACTTAAGTAGCAACACTGATTGACAATCCATTTCACATGCTGTTGTGCACATGGAATAGACAACAGGTGGAAAGCAGAGGCAGTTAGCAAGACTTCCCCAATAAAGGAGTGGTTCTGCAGGTGGTGACCACAGACCACTTCTCAGTTCCTATGCTTTCTGGCTGATGGTTTGGTCACTTTTGAATGCTGGCAGTGCTTTCACTCTAGTGGTAGCATGAGACGGAATCTACAATCCACACAAGTGGCTCGGGTAGTGCAGCTCATCCAGGATGGCACATCAATGAGAGCTGTGGCAAGAAGGTTTGCTGTGTCTGTCAGCGTAATGTCCAGAGCATGGAGGCACTACCAGAAGACAAGCCAGTATATCAGGAGATGTGGAGGAGGCCGTAGGAGGGCAACAACCCAGCATCAGGACCACTACCTTCGCCTTTGTGCAAGGAGGGACAGGAGGAGCACTGCCAGAGCACTGCAAAATGACCTCCAGCGGGCCACAAATGTGCATGTGGCTGCTCAAATGGTCAGAAACAGACTGCATGAGGGTGGTATGAGGGCCCGACGTCCACAGGTGGGGGTTGTGCTTACAGCCTAACACTGTGCAGGACGTTTGGCATTTGCCAGAGAATATCAAGATTGGCAAATTCACCACTGGCGCCCTGTGCACTTCACAAATGAAAGCAGGTTCACACTGAGCATGTGTGACAGACGTGACAGGGTCTGGAGATGCCATGGAGAATGTTCTGCTGCCTGCAACATCCTCCAGCATGACCGTTTTGGCAATGGGTCAGTAATGGTGTAGGGTGGCATTTCTTTAGGGGGCCGCACAGCCATCCATGTGCTCGCCCAGAGGTAGCCTGACTGCCATTAAGTACCGAGATGACATCCTCAGACCCCTTGTGAGACTATATGCTGGTGTGGTCGGCTGGGTTCCTCCTAATGCACGACAATGCTAGACCTCATGTGGCTGGAATGTGTCATCAGTTCCTGCAAGACAAAGGCATTGATGCTATGGGCTGGCCCACCCATTCCCCAGACCTGAATCCAATTGAGCACATCTGGGAAATCATGTCTTGCTCCATCCACCCTTGCCACATTGCACCACAGACTGTCCAGGAGTTGGGGGATGCTTTAGTCCAGGTGTGGGAGGAGATCCCTCAGGAGACCATCTGACACCTCAGCAGGAGCATGCCCAGGCATTGTAGGGAGGTCATACAGGCACGTGGACGCCACACACACTACTGAGCCTCATTTTGACTTGTTTTAAGGACATTACATCGAAACTGGATCAGCCTGTAGTATTTTTTTCCACTTTAATTTTGAGTGTAACCAAATCCAGACCTCCACGGGTTGCTAAATTTGATTTCTATTGATAATTTTGTGTGATTTTGTTGTCAGCACATTCAACTACGTAATGAACAAAGTATTTAATAAGAATATTTCATTCATTCAGATCTAGGATGTCTTATTTTTGTGTTCCATTTATTTTTTTGAGCAGTGTATATTCTATTAGTGAAGTGCTTTGCAATCTAGGGATGTATATACAACCTGCTAAAGAGCCAACTCTTTTGGAATAGGCTGTGGATTTGGGATAAGCTTAGAACACATTTGATAGCAAAATGCACATTTATCGTGCATATTTAAAGGATAATTGAAAGGACTGGCAGACTATTCTCATTCAAACTAGCTTTAATTATCATATGCTTTTTGTTAGCAAGATGTACAATAACAGCACTTCAGGGCAATGAAGGCAATAAGAGCACAGCAAGAGAATGCAAGATTACATGGCACAAAAAAAGTCGAGAGAATTAGATGTCTATTGCCTGCCATGCTTTAAGATGAAACCTTTTGAGAGAAGAAATTCAGGGGGAAAAAAATTAGCAAGGGTGGCGGAATCTTAAAATTCATTTGTCTGGAGATATTAACGATTTGCTTCTTATGCAAAGGCATTCTGGGAGAAAAAATAGACAGGGGAATTGAACAAATATGAAATCTCATATAAATGAGGAACAGCAAATTTAGCAAAAGAGGATTTAGAGCTAAATCTTTTGTTCAAAGAGTGATTAAAAAGCATTATGTTGGATGAAGTCGATCAGAAGCTTAGCTAGACAAATTTCCTGTTCTGCTGATTTCCCCGCATCTCTTTGTTTAGTCACCAAGAAAGGGAAAGAAGGAGAGCAGGAGATTTTGGTGTCTTGAGGCTGGGTAGGAGGCCACAACAGCCAGCAAAGATGATAGTACATGATTTTAAATTTAATTTATTGTCACCTTTTTCCAAATCTGTACCTTATCCCTCTGGTCCCTTCCTTTCTCCTGTTAATGAGAGAAGAAAACATCACCCCAAATGCAAACTCGGTCTGCACGAAGGCAACTTATATTCACTTTAACAACTTTCTCTTACAAAGGCAAAATTATTTCCTTTGGCAAAGCAAAAATGCAGCACAGTTTCTCTCGACAAAATCTCCCTATCATCCTGAACGTGCTGCATGTTCTCCTACCTCTGTTGCTTGCATTTGGACAGAAGCTTTTCCAGAAGCTATTCCAGTTTTGGCAAGTGTTTCTGGAGAAGGCTGATAGGGGAACATTTCTTTAACAACTCTTATATTTTCCATCAGCACTTACAAAAGAGGCCACCATGCAAGTGTGCTGCTGAGAGGGAGCAAAAAACTTAAGGAAACTCACAAGAAATCCAGAAACTTCAGGTAAAGGATGCTTATTGCATTCCAGGTTAGCAAATGTTCATTTATTTTATTTATTTAGAGTATGGCATCTACAGAGGTCAATGAGAAATCCAATGGTGGAACAACTATAAATGAATTACAAGGATATACACCACTGTTTTATTCCTATGTTATTGTGTATTCTCTATTTCCCCACCTTCTTCAAGTGTATGATTTTTGGTCAGTAAAAGAATAAGGGAGGACTGTCATGGTTGTAAAAGCAGAGCATGAATGTAGCAAAATAGAAGCCTGCTTATAACATTACATATCTACTACCATTTCTAGGGCAGCCTCATATCACCACTGCCAATTCACAGCTTGTCCTTTCTCCATATCTGTCTGTCTTGAAAGCTATCATCTTGGGGGCATGGGGAGTGTTGCTTTTTCCCCAAAGCTTGGATTGGAGTTCCAGTTGAGGTAGGCTGAATGAAATCAATGTAGGAGATTAGTAGAAAGGTGTGTGATAACTCACTCTTGATGAATTGACTATCAGTCTGAAAAGGCAGAAACTTTCCACCACCTCAGTATTTTCACTGACATTGCTGTAGCTGTGATCATTAGTTTTTCTCCTCCAATTTAAAACTACTCTCATCAATTTAAAATACTCTACACAGAAATGGTGTATGCCATGGAACTATGAAGAGGTGTATTGTTTCTGGTTTGATTAAAGAAAAGTTTAATAAGAGCCATGGTGGAGCAGTGGTTAAAATACAGTACTGCGGGCAAATTCTGACCACATCCTAAAGTTTGATCCTGACAAGGGTTGAGGTTCACTTAGCATTCCATCCTTCCAGGTTCAGTAAAATGGGGGCCCAGATTAGTGGGGGCATTATGCTGACTCTGTAAACTGTTTGGAGAGGGTTGTAAAGCCCTGTGGAGCAATATATGTCTAAGTGCTAGTGCTAGTGCTATAAGCATTCAATATGACAACGCCCATGTGTATACAGAAACTTCAGGAGCTGAGCCTTCTAGGAGCTGAAGTTGCTTCATGACTGAGGAGCAGGTTGAGAAGTCTTTTCCCTTAAAGACAAGGCCTGGGTTAATAATTTCCAGAGACTATGATCATAAAAAATGAGCCTGCTGTGTTTTAGAGTTCAGCGTTATGATTTAACATCATTCAGAAGCTCTACCCAGGTACTATCTAGTTCAACATATCTGAATTCTGTTCATGTCAAAAAAGCAAAGATTATACCTGAAAATATGTCCTATAAGTGACATCATACTTACTGGGTTTGAAGGTAGCATGGTATCCTATAGACCAAATGAAGAGATGGGTTGAGCACTCAGGTATGCGTGCACACACACACACACACGCACATACAACACAAACACCATGGAAATTTGCCACAGGAAATCTGCAGAGCTCCTTAACTAAAATTCACTCCCTCCAGAATTGAATGTGACTTCTACTTTAACTTTTCTTAAGTGTTTTCTTTGTATATTTGTATTTGGATTGCTACTGACTCCCTTGGAGCTATAAATTTAAAATTAATAAATAGGTCATATTGGCCTACATATTTCCAATTCCTAATATGTTTCAGAATATAACAAATACTGTTGGTCTACTCTGTAAGAACAATCTGAAAGGGGTTTTTGTTCTTTGACGTAACCTACAAAGTTTAATGAATCCTTATGACCTTTTCAGAAGTACAGGGAAAGAAGAATAAGGGAAAGATATGGTAAGCAATAAACCTAGTGCTTATGCACCCTATACAATACTTCATAGATTTTAATGGGGTAGCTACTACTGTCCCATGCTGGCTCTTTTAAGATTTCACTCCTGTGCTGGCTCTTTCCTATTATAGACCTTTGTCCTGGGTCCAAGAAGGAAAAATAGCATATAAGAGAAGCCCGTAATCGCATGAAAGTTCTCTGAATCTAATTCTTTGTTTTATTTTCATCTTTCTCAAAATAGGTGAGTCATTTCAAAATTGTAATTAGTTTTGAAGGGAGACTTAATTAATATGTGGTAGGCGATAGATATGTAAAGAAAGCAATCAGGAACACTGATTAGCTCATTGATAAGTTCTGTTTCCAATCAGGATCCAGGTAAGACAGGAATGCATAACCTGTCTCCCATAATGTTTGAGATTGAATTCTGAGTCCTTGAAAAGGTTTTCTTGAAGATTGAGGTTGATTGATGGAGTATATTCTCATATGGTGAATAGTTTTCTTTAAGAGCCTGTTATTATTATTTATTTAGTGAATGATGAAAACATGACAAAAGAGAAGTGAACATATATACACAGTCTCTGTAATTATAAGTACGTTAAAACTTCTATGGGGGTATGGCAGTGGTATGAGTTTGTGTACTTATTAACATAAACATCTCAAGAAATTTCCTTATGATGCTCCCAATAGCAAAAGCTATGTTGGAGACAACTGGAAAACAGTCCATTTAAACTGTGGTACTTGTCACAGTTAACTGCTCTCTGTATAAATCTGTATTCCTATGTATTCTTTATGTTATATACAATCTGAAGTGGTGCCTTTGTCATTGTTACACAAGTGATCATCTGGCTCCAGCATCCTCCTACATTACTGCTACCCAATATAGAAGCCTGTTTGCTGTAGCTGGTGACCTGGACTCATGCTTTTGGTAATCTTGCTGCGTATATATACTCTTGCTGTACACTTCTAGGATTCTTCATTCAACATTTCCAGGACCCTCTCAATCAGTAAGGTTTGGGCCCAAAAGCAAAATCTGGTTAAGCTGTATGTTCTCAAGACTAAAACTCAAAAGATTATGAAGTATTTTGGTTCATCTACTTGGATCAATTTATAGCAATAGCACTTAGACTTATATACTACCCCACAGTGCTTTACGGCACTCTCTGATTGGTTTACAATGCCAGCAAATTGCCCCCAACAGTCTGGATCTTCATTTTACTGACCTTGGAAGGATGGAACATTGAGTCAACTTTGAGTCCATCAGGATCGAGCTGCAGGCTGTGGGCAAAACTTACCTGCAATGCTGCATTCCAACCACTGCACCACCAGGACTCCTGTGGTTATGCTCTAGGGCAGGGGTGGGCAAACTACGGCCCGTGGGCCACATCCGGCCCGTTGGTCTTTTTAATCCGGCCCGCCGAAGATTGGTACAGAATTAAGATTTGATGTGAATGATTGAATGATTGCATTCATTTGATTTTGACTTATAATGACAGGCATTTTGACACCAGGTGGTGGCCCGTCTGTCAAATTTTAAAAGTCAATGAGGCCTCCGAGCCAAAAAGTTTGCCCACCCCTGCTCTAGGGCTTCAATCAGTAGACTCAGAGTAGAGTTTCATTCCCAAGAGAAGCACCTGATCAAGCCATTTTCCAAGGTCTGTAATTGGTGTTCCATACAATATTAATCTGGACAATTTATTACAGATTGTACAGAAGTAAAAGTGTTGGACCACAATGGGAGATACCTAGATTCAGATCTAGACTCAACCATCAAGCTTGTACCTCTACTTTTGAATTGTTTATATTTAGCATGACGGTAAAGTATCTTTTTAGAAGCAATATTGTTTATAGTTTAACAATATTTTTGCTCCTATAGTTGTCTCAAAAATGTTGTTGGATTTCATGTTACACTGTAAACCTGTTCAATCATTACTTTAGCTTTGCTTTCTGCAGACATTCATTACATATTTGACATCTAAAAACCTACTTGTTTGTGAGACTATGTAAATATTATGGGCTATATAAATATTATGACAAAACAAAAAGTTAAATCGATAAAACTTTTTGTAGACTGCCTGGGAGAAATTGCTTTGAAAAGTACTATATATATTTTAAAATAATTATAAAAAGAAAAAGAAAACTCATGCTCCGAGAACTTACTAGACACTGTGGCTCCGTTCACTGGGAATTCTATTATTTATATTCCTAATGTATCTGATGTGTCAAGTCGTAATAGGCTGTGGTAAAGAATATATTTGTAACTATAATGTATTCAAGGCTAATACTTGCTTTACACTGCAAACTAAGTTAATTAGTTACATTAACATTCTTTCTACCAAACCAAATCAAACCAAACCAAACCAAACCTTACTTAGTGTGACATAGGACTCTAGTCAAAAACTCATTCATTTGAACTCTGTGTTGTGAACTATTTGATATAATAATGCTATGACATAGTTCTCCTCATAGATAAAATTACTCCACCAAATTAACCATGGTTTGTTGAAGTATTAACTAAGCTATAATTAGGGATGCATATATCATGACAAACCCAAAACAAATAAACGTTATTATAAATTATGCTAAGTGTTGCCCAAGTACTGGGGTCGCATTCTTTTTTGAAAATTATGCAAGTGTAGCATAATGCATAGCATATAACGTAAACATTTGTAGATGGTTCTTTTTTAAGTGCTACAATCACTTTCTATCATTTTACAGCTTCCTGAATAACTGCAGGAGTACTGTTTTCTTTTTCAGCAAAACAAATGTTGTGCTGTGTAATTTATTGATTTGTTTTCACAAAGTGCTTTTGCAAAAGGGCTCTAGCTTGTGAAGGAGATGACTGTGAGGGTTGTGCTGTCATCTTCATTTTCTTCCCAGGTAGCAATTATATTTGCTAACATGTTTTACTTTCACAGCACACTAATGTTTTTAAAGATTTTTCATGAGCACTGCAACTGGCTTGATAATTCACAGAGGAGTAACTCGGAGGTACTGTCGTAGAAGGGATGATGCGACCAGACTGATGAGATGAAGTGGGTTTTTATGTTGGTTGGCCCGAAACTCAGGTATGATCTATGATGAATGACCTCACACTTCAACACATTGTCTGAACAGTAGGCTACACCATCTGTGACACTTTGTTGTGCCACCACAGTAGTTTATTTTCATTCTCTCCTGAACAGACATGGATGTTTATAAGTAAGTTATACAACTCTGGAACATATGGCAAGATGGTCCAAGAAGTCCTAGGAAACATGAGAAATCAAGCTTGGGATGAAATTAAAGTCCAGAATGATTGACTATGCCTGATCTGATCAAGCAAGCTAGCAGTACCTAGCCAGCCTTGGCTGATTTTGAAAAGCTTAATCAGACCAAGCTACAAAAAATATAGATATACCAGGTAGTCAAAATAACCCCTAAAAGCAGGTGATGGGAAATCATTGCCATACAGTTTCATAAAATGATATGGATGTGCCCATGAAATCAAGATTGGCTCAAAAAAATGCTTATTTGGGATTGGCTTCTTTGCCATTTGAATTTATTTAGTGATTCCACCCATTAATACTCTAGAGGGTAGTGCATTATCTAGAGCTCATCTGGGATTGGGAGTAGAATGAGATGAAAGGGAATGGAGAGAGGGGTTCTTTGTGTTAGTAAAAGTCAGCATGTCTGCTATAGCCAACTTATACAGCCTTCAAAAAAAATTAGAAGTTTGAGTCAGCATAGAAACAGATCATAGACACACAAAGAAGCAAGATGCAGGCGTACATTTCATCAAGATCTAGAAATAGAACTATTAACTAGACTAAACCCATGAAGAACAAGACACAGCTCTGCAATAAGTAACATGCTATTTGGGCAGCAACTAATATTGCTATGTAGGGTGTACATCTTTTTAAAGGACCTCAGTGCTGTGAATATCAGTGGCATGAGTATTATTGAAAGTGAAAAGAAACAGACCACTTTTATTATAATGCTAGCACTGAATATGGATGGTCCT